TCCAGGAGGTGCATGGGCTAAGGCCGTTGGCACTAAAGTGGCCCTAGCTAGCAGATCTTCAGAATGGAATTCTGGAACTGGATCGATTACCAGTCAGATGGCAACAGGGCCCAACTGTGGCAAGTGGGGTGGGAGGAAGCCCTGAGGAGCTGCAGCAATGCAACTACTAAGACTTTCATCAGAGGTGGTTTTGAATGAGGTGCAGGTTGGATTATGCAATAGCGGCGGCACAGAAGTGGTATGGGGTGACGGTAATTATGGGGATTATTGAATGAGCTGGCTTTTGTTAACACCTTCAGATCATTGAAAAAAGAAAAGAGAAAATGATAGGTTTGGGTTAGCCACTGGTCAACTGTGGGAGTCAGAACGCCTCTCTGGCTGTATGTAAGAGCATTTATCTCCTGCTGACACAGGATTGTACAGAAAATCAGTCTTAGGACTTAACTTCAAGACTAGTAGAGCTCCAAAGGAGACAATATACAGCCTTAACAGGTCTCTTATGCCAAAGTCAGGGCCGTGGGGAGAAAAGAGAAGGATCCTGAGATCAGGATAGTGACGTTTGGGGGTAAGAGCCTGATAATCTTAAATCCTCAAATTTCCCTGAACCCTCTGAGTGAGGAGCAGCAGCTTCTGCCCCGTTGCCATAGGTGATCTGCTTCCTGTTACACTGAGACCCTGAAAATCCCTGCCCTGATGCAGGTGCCTCCTTAGGAAGAGATACTTGCCCTCCTTACAGTCTATCCCACCCCCTCCCAGGGCCCACAGACATATAGCCGGGATGAGCTGGTAGAAGTGTCTAAGGAGAGCAATAAGGTTCTTGCTCTGGGAGGAAATAACTACACCCAGAGAATTACAACACCTGGCTCATATGTACCACCAGGAATTTCGAGGGTGTTGGGCCATGGAAATAGTGAAACGTAAGGCCAGATAGGGGAAATTAATTGATTTGGGAGCACTCTCTTGTGACTTGTGACTTAATTCCTGCCAAGGACACCTGGAGACAGTCTTAAATATGTTGCATAGCTCTTTGAAGGTTGAACTTTCAGTAGATAAGGTACATATGCTGGAACTGCCGTGGTAGAGTATTGAAGAAGGGGTCTGGGAACTCGAGGAGATAGAAATATTTAGAATGAATGTATTATGTGGGACTGCAGAATCCACCACATGATTATGTTTCCTTGCAAGGCACAGGGGATACTCTCTTCACTAAAATATTTAGGAGCAGTAAGGAGGTCACTGTCATCTTTAAGAAGCTCATTGACGGCTATCCTCAGAGGGCTAGAGATGCTACTGTGGAACTAGGCTCTCTGAGTCCAATGGGAGCAATGAGATTTCAGTGTGGCAGAAACCAGGTGCTAAAAGTGGCAAAGTGCACATCATTACCATAATGGGAAGCAAGGCTGGGATGCCTTATTTCACTGAAATCTGTGCGGATGCACAGATAGGACCTCACCATGGAGCTCCTATAAGTGAGATAGGAGGGCAGCTGGCCAGTGTGTTACTTGGCTTGTATTAGTTGGAAAAACTGAGAGATGGCAAGCGGAAAGTTGATGTCAAGTGATAGAATGGAAAATTGTAGTTCCTCACCCAATTTCTAGACCTAAGTCTACAGACCAAAGCATTGTTGACTGAGTCACCTTGAGGAAGGAGCCTATGATGGCACCACAAGTATTTCTCAACCGTTTCCCACAGAGATCTGTGACCATTTACCAGAGTAACTGCAGGAAGGGAAATACTCAGACCTTTCAAGGGCTGTGGCTACAGGTCTGAGCCAGTACTGGTATCTGGGGACCCAAAATGCCGTCATGGTCTCAGGTTAGAGCACTGACTCACAGTAGGCCTAACAGGTCCACGCATCCACACTTGAGATTATTTCCTCCACTTCCACGTGAAAAATTGGGATAGATACACCTAGCAATTGGCAAATGTTCACACTGATTTCATGACCTGTGGAGTAAGAGCCAATGTGGTGGAAAGAGCCAAATAGAAGCCCCTGAAACTGTCCCCCACCGCCCCACCCAATGTAATCCTGGTCAAAATAGTAAATCGGAAGCAAAACCACATCCCAGGAGATCTTGTGGAGATGAGCACTACCATCAAAGACGTAAAGAATGTGGGGGTCACATTGTATCCCCACTCAACCAAATTGTAGCTCCAATTACAGCTGCTGGGCCAGATGTGGTATCTTTGCTAAAACAGATATACGCAGTCTCTGGCACTTGACATGCAGCTATTGATCTGGTGCATGTGTTTTTTCCAATCTCAATCAGTAAGTGGGATCAAAAGCAGTTCATCTTTTGTGGAATGGACAGCAGTTCACATTCGCTGTCTTGCCCAAGGCCTAGGTTAACTCTCCTGCCCTCTGTCACAATATAGTCCACAGGGACCTTGATGGTCTTGACATTCCACAGACTATCATTCTGGTCCACTGTATTGTTTATATCATGTTAATTGGACCTCCTGGTGAGCAGAAATGGCAAGGACTCTGGATGTGCAATTAAGACCTGTGTGCCAGAGGGTGGGAGAAAACCCTCTGAGGAATGGTATATGGGTGATATTCTACAAGTCCAATGGCCTGGAGAATGCTGAGACATCCTCTTTAAAATAAAGGACAAATTGTTGCACCTTGTATCCCTACCACTAAAAAAGAGGCATTGCTCTTGCAGAAGTCTTTGGATTTTAGAGGCAGCATATCCAGCCCTTGGGAATACTGCTCTAATTTATCAAGTGAGGTGGAAGGCTGCCAACACTGAGTAGGACCCAGAGCAAGAGAGAACTTTGCCGCAGGTCAAAGCTGCCCTACCACTCAGGCCATATGACCCAGCATATCCAGTCATGCCCAGATCCTGGCATGTTATTGGGCCTTAGGAGAGTGAGCACCTAACCATGAGACATTAAGTGGTTGTGTACCTTGGAGCTTGCCATTGTGAGCTGGATAAGAGACCCACTGTCACGAGACTGAATGGACGCAGCAGGAATCCATTATACTATGGAAATTATACATTCAGGATCAGGCTCAAGCAGGTCTGGAGAGAACAAGCAAGTTACAAAAAAGAGGTAGCACCGTCCCCATGTCACCTGTGTTGTTTCACTGCTGCCTCTCCTTCTGCTCACATGTATGGCTCAGCAGGAGTTTCTAAGTAACGGAGGGGGAAAATCTCAAGCCTGGCTCACAGATGGATCAGCTCATTATGCTGGCACTGGTTGAAAATGGACTGCTCCCATACTGTATTCCTACTCAGCAGAGGTCTTGAGGGACCACGGTGAAAGGGAATCCTCGCAATGAACATAGCTTTAAGCAGTGCACTTGACGGTTCACTTTGTATGGAGGAAGAAGGGACCTGAGATATGCATGAACCCATGGCAGTAGCAAATAGCTGTCTAGTTGGTTAAAAGTCTGGAAGGAGCAAGATGGGAAAATCATTTGGAGAAGAGGCACAAATTCCACTTGTGCGAGTGGGCACAGAGCTTGAGGATGTCATACTAATGGCTTCCACAGATCATCTATTACAGAGGAAGCATTGAGCAACTAGGCAGAGAGGATGTCTTTCCTGGTGGGTGTCAGCCTCCTCTGTCCTTAGCCACATCAGTGCTTACGTAATCGTCCCATGAACAGAATGGCCTTGGCTGCAGGGATGATGGTTATGCATGGCCCAACAGCACTGGCTCCCTCTTTCCAAGGGTGATCTAGCAGCTGCTGCTGAGGACCCAACCTGCGAGCAGCAGAAACTGATGCTGAGCCCCTGATATGTGCTGTCCTTTAAGGAGACCAGCCGCTATGTGGATGGAGTAACAATTTGTCCTCACTGGAATTGAAACTAACTCTAGAGACGGGTTTTACCTTTCCTGCTCACAGTACACCCCAAGGGCTTAGGGGATGCCTGCTTAACTGGCAAGGGAGTCCATACAACATCAGACCAAGGGTCCCATTTTACAGCAAAGGAGGCATGATAATCAGCATATGGCCATGGTTCTACTGTATACCTCACCACCTACAACTAGCTAGACTAGAAGAATGATGGAATTTGTAGCCCAGCCCCTCGGGTATATGCACTGGACAGCAGCCATCACACAGGGCTGTGTCTCCATCAACTGATGGTTCTCCCAATGAGCCACTTGTGAAAATCAAGCTTCCTGTCCGCAATATTCTCTCAAATGTGCAAACCTTTACATGTACATGACTGATCACTGGAAAAACCTGAATGTCCATTAATACATAATTAGTGAAATAAACCATAGGACTTTACAGTACACTTGGATGATGAAATATTATGCAGCTATTAAAAAGAATGAGGCACGTCTGTATGTGTTGCCTTGGAAAGATGTCCAAATATATTAAATGCAAAAAGGGGGCCGGCCCGGTGGCGCACTGGATAGTGCGCCGCTTGGGAAGCGCGGCGGCGCTCCCGCCCGAGGGTTCGGATCCCACATATGGACCGGTTCCCGCTCACTGGCTGAGCGAGGCGCGGGGGCAACACTGAGGGTTGCGATCCATTGCCGGACACGGAAAAAGACAAAAGACAAAAAAAAATAAAAATAAAAAATAAAAAAAAAATAAATGCAAAAAGGAAATTTCAGAACAGTATGTACAATATGACAGCATTTATCTCTCTTTTTGAAAAGGTAATATATGTCTTTGTAGGAGCACAGACATCTGGAATGAAACATGACAAACTGGTTGTTTGGGGGAGAGAGAATGGAGAGTAAAGTGCAAGGTGGGCTGCCTCTTGACTTTACATTCTCCTGTACCTTCAAGTTTTTGTGTTTTGTTTTTTTGACCTAAGGATATATCACTTTATCATACAAATAGCTTAAAATGATTAAAATGATTTGCATTAGTCCCTTCACTATATTGAAAAACCAAGGTAAATATTTTGAAGTTCGTTTCAGAGAGATAGTTAATAGATCAGCTTTGGGTGGAGGGGGGAGCTGTTTTCATTATGAAAAAAGCTATTTAGATTATGACTACTCTCTCCAGACTAGAGGAAAATATTCCTCACCCCTCTGGGTGTTGCTGAGGAATTCTTCTGTAACACTCTCTTTTGGTAAAGGGAAGCTGCCTTGATCCCACATTTCCTCCAAATGCTGAGAGCCCTGGCTAATGTCTTGTTTCTGGGACAACTAGAGAAGAAAAAATTGTGACAATATGGAGTGGAGGAATACTGAAAAAGCTGGAATCACTGGGTGGAGAGATTGAGGGCCTGATATTTATTTTAGGTTTGCTGGAGACCACATGGAGAGAACAGAATGTACCCAGCTGGTCCTCTGGCCAGAGACTGAACTGAGATTTCTTCTGGATTCCTCTCAGCAGGAGTTAGCACAGGCTAATGATGCACACAGAGGACACCTGATCTGTTTTATTGACTATTAAGGTACTACAACTGGGATCAAAATGAAAAATAACCCTGACATGGCCTAAACTGAATGCAGCAGCATACTGATAGTTATAAAGCAAATTCTTTGTATGGTTTTTATGTGTGGTTGATAGCATCAGTTGGTTTAGAAACTCTTACCTTTCATCGTTTCAACGAAAAGACAGATGGAGTTCAAAGAATTTCAACCAGGTGACTTTACCCAACAGTATTTTTACTACAGAGCTTTTAAAGTTAATAAGCAATAAAGAAGGTTAACAATTAGCAAGAAAATATGCCAGTTGAAAGGAAATTTGTGGCCTAAGACAAATAAAAAGGTAAATTAAAGCATTTAAAAAAAATTTAAAGTGAAAGACACAAGCCTTGCCTATTTAAAAAATTTTCCATTCCATAAAAACTACCACCTTCTAAAGTGGTTTGGATGTTTTATAAGAACTATATGTAATACAGGTTGTCTTCCTAGAAATTTTATTGGTTAGAAACAAAAATAATTTAAGTGGCAAAAAAGCAACAGTATAATTATATTTTTGTCAATGTGAATTATAAAATCACTTGTTCTGTCTCCTCCTGCTCTGTGATATTTTATTTTCTAGAGTCTAAGGTATGTGGCAGGAAGTGTGTAGGAGCATTAGGACACTGACAGATGGTGGTCTGTGCTTAATCTCCTTACAGACTTGGTGTCTTTAACTGTAGTAACTTTAACAGTATAGGGTAGTTCCTGTCATAAAAATCAAACAACGATGGGCCGGCCCGGTGGCGCACCGGATAGTGCGCCGCTTGGGAAGCTCGGCGGCGCTCCCGTCCAAGGGTTCGGATCCCACATACAGACCGGCTCCCGCTCACTGGCTGAGCGAGGCGAGGAAGCGGCGCCGAGGCTTGCGATCCCGTTGCCGGTCCCCGGCCCGGTGCGGGGGCAACACTGAGGGTTGCGATCCGTTGCCGGACACGGAAAAAAGACAGAAAAAAAAAAAAAAAAAAAAAAAAAAAAAAAAAAAAAAAAAAAAAAAAAAAAAAAAAAAAAAAAAGAAGCCAGCTTGTTGATATCTGCTTCTGTTGTTCTTGAAGTATTTGCATGGCAGCTTTATCACTTAGGAGTTCACCATATAGCAGGAATACAATCTTTCTGGATAAACACATTGTGAGTAAGCCAAAAAATCTTCTAATAAACAAACAAAACAGTCTGTTACTATTTGCAGTTAGTATATTATCTTGCAAAAATAAAATTAAACAGGTCTCCACTTGTTGAACAAATACGGAGAGATGATGATCAGGGAACTTTGTTTGGTTACTATCATTGTGGGCAAGGGAATGCTCTGCTTAGTCTTGCATGCTACTGACAACCAGTTTATACCAACTCCCAACATGAGTCTTTATATTAGTAATGAACGTCAATGGGCCAGATCTCTGCTAGTCTCTAATGAGAACATCTGCATATAATGAAAGCTGTATGATCCAAAGGCCCCAAACTGGCAGCCTGCAGACCAAACATTATCTGCAGATGTGTTTCATTTGGCCCGAATGTTATTTAAAATTTTTAAAAATTACTTGTCATCATTTTGAAGTCAAGACATTTCATTCTCACTAAAAAGAACTAGGGGTCCTTGGAGAAATGGTGGATTCCAGGGGGCATTTTGTTATGCCATACAGTAAAGTGATGCCGAAAGCATGATGGACATCTGTCAGGACACAGAAACTAGATCAAAGGAGCCTCAAATGGCCAAATGCATGACAATTTGAGAATCAAAAAGAATAATGGCAGGGATGGCGTGTACTTTGTTGAATAAAAAAATCTGTGAATCCACAGCGATACTAAAAAGTAGAGAGTGGAGGGTAAAGGAAAGCCCTTTTTTAACAGAAAAATTATAGCTAATGCATGTAGAAAGAATTATAGAAAAACAAACATTTTACAATAACTCTTACCATTGATTCGGGCAAGGATATCAGTGGACATTTAAACCATTGGGTGAAAGTTGTTGGGAAACAAGAGAGTCACGCAGTTTTAAAGTATGACCCCCCCCAAAACTTATTAATTATAAAGGGGGAAATGTTTCTTCACAATTGAGAAATATGGCAGACCCATCTTAAACAGAGGTTAAAACTGACAGCACCAATTATGGGACAAAATGTCATCATGGGCTTCCTGATGGGAACTAGTGCGATGGACATAGCCGCACCCACGTAGTGTTCTTACCCAAAACATTTAACCTGGATCAAATCATGGGGAAACAGCCAGGCAATTCAAGTTGAGGCACATTCTGCAAAACAACTGGCCCAGACTTTGAAAAAATGCCAATACCATGAAAGACCAAGAAAAGAATAAAGAAGGTGGAGAACTCTTCTAAATTAAAGGTGACTAAAGAGTCATGACAACTAAATGCAGTGTAGGGTCATTGATCAGATCCTGAATTTTAAAAGTAACTATATATATGTGTGTGTGTGTGTGTATATATATATCTATATATATATATATATAGTTACTTAGTTATACATACAGTTATATAAGTATTATTGAGACAATATGAGAAATTTGAGCATAGACTGTATATTAGATAATAGTATTGAGTCAACGATAAATTTCTTGAGTGTGGAAATCACAATGCAGTTATGTAGAAGAGTGTCTTTGTCCCAGGAGATTCATGCTAAATATTTAGGGAGATGGCTCAGCTAAAAAAGTGTGCATGGCGTGTTTGAGAGAGAGAGACAGAGACAAAAAGGAAATGCAGCAAAATTCTGACAGTTGATCAATGAATCTAGTTAGGGGTATGCAGGTATTCATTGTACTATTCTTCCACTTCTGTATATTTAAAATTTTTTTCACAATAAAAACTTGTAGGGAAAATCCCAGGAGATTTTACATAAAATTCTGATTTCTGACTTTTTAAAAAGACTCTGAAACTCTAGCACCCTGCTCATGGTCAGAGGAGCAAAGCAGTGGCTGTCCACTTTAAATGAGACATGAGGTCTCCAGTTTGTCCCAGTCTCCCCCTCTCCATCTTGTCCTACCTCCAGCCTGCTTCATGTATTTATGTTAGCAGTGTGATACCCACAGACATTTGAGTTCGTAATCTCTCATAATGTGTAACAGAGAATGCTGAACATGGCTAAAACAATTTATAGACATATATTACTAATTCATTTCAACAAGCCATTGAAACCATTTGAAGAGAAGGAGCAGAAATGGCTCCTCTTAGCAACAGCAGCACTAAATTCTTAAATATGTCACAGGATTTCTCACTGAGGTTTCTATTAAGTTGGAAAATACTCCTTCAACTAATATTGGGAGAGCAGAAGCCTTTAAAAATTATGAAAGCTTTAATTAGATTTTGATGCTAGGGAGTATTTACGAGGTATTCTGTTAGCATTTAGTGGAATGGGTGGGGCTCTGGAAGAGAGCACATTCAATTAAGCACTTAAATGCTTTGGATAACAGGCAACCTTGACAGTCCTACCTCTCACAGCGTGTCACCAGGATGGTAATTTGCTCAACAGTATTTATGGTCTGCTACTGGAAGGCAGCGACCCTCCTGGGGGAGGTTGTGTTTTGCCTACAGTGCCTCTCTTGGCACCAGAACCTTGTTTCAATCCCACCCTCTGCCCTTCTGCCTGCATTTTTCTCTCTGCTGTGCTCTTCTGACCCTCTACTTTCCTGCCCTTTCAGCCGTGGGGCTGCTTGACTTCTGTGAGATGTTTGGCCCAAGAGCTCTCTGCTCCCCTCAGCAAAAAGTCAGCGAGCACTTCCAAACAGGGACATAAATCATGGAAATGAGGTGGGCCAGGTTCCAGGAGGCATCGAGCTTGACCAAGGTCACTCAACAGCTTTGAGCAGGATCAGAAACTGAAGTCCCCAACTGCAGCTGCTGTCCCCGCTGGAAGGCTATTGAAAGTGAGGAGATGGTGGGGAAAAGGGGATGCTCTGAACATTCTGTAGGTTATTACTACTCCTGATTAATTAAGGTCAATGACACATGGCTTTGGCACACAGTACACACTCAACAGTCCCCCTTGCCCACACCCTGTGTTCTTTTTCACTTTTGTTCCCCTAAGGAGTCTTTTCACACATTTTGTCCTAATCACTAACCAATGAGATTTTAATACCACAAATATACTGTATATCTGTGCATGTACTATATGTATGTCTGTGCTTTATACAATAAAAAGTTAGACTCCCCCCCCCCACCAAGGACCAGTTTTCACCCTCTTGACGGTGATATAGTTCTCATTAAGAATGCATGCACTGTATTGTAATGCACATTTTTCCCCTGTGCTTAGACTCATCTTTGTTGGTGGCAAACCATAATGGTTTGCCCTCTAAAGAAATCGATAGCGTTATGGAATGAGAGCTGGAAAGACCTGCTGTTCCAGCGAGAATCCTCACTCATATTTCTGGGGAAGCCATGAGCCTCACAGCTGAGGCCCTGCTGCACAAGGGCAAAATGAATTCTGAGGACCAGTCCTGGAGACCTCAGAGTGTGGTTCTGGTGTAACACGATGGCTGTGACGTGTGCAAACATAAGGGCACGGACTCGGGCACAGACAGAACTGTGTCTACTTCCAGCTTACTGACCAGGAGGCCTTGGCAAATCATTAACCTCCTGAATCCATTTGTAAAATGGGACAACGATACCACCTTCTAAGGCTGTTGTTAGTGTAATCTGTGCATCCTAGGTAACAATACTTGGCAGTTTACCCAAGTCTACTAAGTCACCAGCCCCTACCTGCCAATAGCAATATAGGACTCCTTCTCCTTGT